TCCTCAGGCTACTCTCAACTGACCTGCAGTGTGTACACAAACCCTTCGTATCCTTTCCACATCAACACACACTGTATTCCATTGTTCCCTGCACTTTTCTCCCTACATCTCGTACGGTGTATACCAGTGTGTCTATGAAATACTGCTTATGCCTGCAGTGACTTTGCCTGGTACCATCCAGGATTAATTTCATTCCTTCATTGAGACATATGGGCCCACAGAACCGACTGCGCCTGTTTACCCCTTTGAGTTTGACTTGCACGGTATGTTATTATGTACAACTACTCATTATCCTTATCCTGCTAAAAACGCGTGTCTCGCTTTGTCTTGAGGAAAATATTTATTTAGTTATTTGTTATGTTTCCTTAACAGAAGAGCGTTAAGAAAGGTTGCACGATGTAAGGACAGCGGACCGGTGGAGCTCAAGCATACATTAAGGTTGTTAGGTATGTCAGTGCATAAGAGACTAAAGCGCAATTGCGTGCAGGTACTCAAGGCGCGCTAGGGGGCAAAGAGAATAGTGCTAAGGTAGGCTGATTCAGGAAAAGTCGGTGAGAGTTTGGCTCATAGATGAACAAGTGTCGAAGACGATACAGGGAGTAAGAGCAGATGATACATCTAGGAAGGTGAGACTGAAAATTCTTAAAATGTGCACGGTAAGTTGCTTACATGTTTTGATAAGTAGGATAGTGAAATTACTAATTGTTGGCGACGTACTGATGACTCGAAGCCTACGCTTATATTGACTTTCCGTAAATTATCATTTCTTATTTGTAATTCCCGCAGTTTGTGGTTCCTGCTCTGGATCGTGTATTGCAAGCATGAAAGAAACAAACCTTTGTTAAGCTAGCATATTTCTATTAGAAGTGAATTAGGAAGTTACCGGAATGAGAGCCCCGGGGCAAACATCCAGCACAGTAGATTTTATATTTCGTACAGGCGATCCCAGTGCTCTGGTTCTATTGAAATACTAGCCGGTGGTTAAGACACTAGAAGATATGGCAGCTATGGAACAGCAACAGAAGAGAGGCAACCGGATCTAATGTTTATTGAAAAGGTTAAAATATATGGAGAAACAGCATAAGAGTAAGGAAGTAGGAAGCACGCTGTGCCCTAAACAGCAGATATGTGGCGAGGGACCGTCGGTAAACCAAAACTTACAATGCAAATTTGGAAACATCAACAAAAAACGAGGTAAAGATAAGTTGGGTAATGTTTGGGGTTGGCTACACTCTTCAGCTGCTTAAAGAGTTGGACCGTATACGGAGTGATTGACGGCATACGCCTTGATCCCATGCTCCACTACCAACGCATAACAGCCTTAGCGAGGATGGGTGCTGGAGTATCAGACGTTACCACAGGAAAAATAACCTAGATCCACGGTTTAGTAAAATAAAACTTCCACAACTTATCAAAACGCTTGGAATGTTGGGTTGAGCACTTTGAAAGGCAATATAATCGGTCAGAATTGTTAGCTTTCTCGCCGACCAGTGATCGCCCTGCTCCGTGGGCTGTTCCTTTGGATCCACCCTCTCGCTCAGAAGTCGAATATGAGATCGAAGTGTTGAAGTTAAATTAAGCCGCAAGACCAGATGATCTTCCTCCAGCCCTCTTCAAATTCGGAGGACCTGCTCTTGTGGATGATTTACACGAGTTACTAGGAAAACTGTAAGAGCGGGAGGCTGTCCCAACCGATTGGAGCCGCTCCATCATGGCCCCAATTTTCAAAGGAGGCTCACGATGGGAATGCGGCAGCCATAGAGGCATTAGTCTGATCTCCATCGCCTCCAAATTGCTTGCCTCTGTCATCCTTCACAGACTGACTGGCACTCGTGAAAGCCAGCTTCGTGAACAGCAAGCTGGATTTCGTCGAAGTCGTGGCTGCATTGACTACCTCTTCACTTTGCATCAGTCATTGGAGCACCGTCACACATATTGGCGGCCCACCGTTGTCGTGTTCCTCGATATCAAAGGTACATTCGATTCGGTGGACAGACATGCACTTTGGGACTGTCTACTCAGGAAAGGTGTACTTGAGAAATATGTGAATATTATCCGAGCATTATATGCGCGTAGCTCGGGCAGAGCGAGGGCTGACGGCAAGTTATCGTCGCCCTTTAATATCTCCAGCGGCGCGCGACAAGGATGCCCGCTGTCACCTTTCCTCTTCAAGTTGGCTGTTGAAGAAGTCATGGAAAACGCGTTCACAGGACACGAGTTAGAAGGCGTGAAGCTACTCCCAGGAGAACTTCTTGACTTAGAGTATGCTGATGATATTGCCCTGATCCGTGAAAGCACACAAACGTGCCAAGCGGCACTGGACAGATTAGCACCAGCTGTCCGTCACTTGGGGCTTTGCTTCGCACCCTCGAAATACAAAGCGTTTCTCCAAGCTTGGTCTGGACCGCCTTCTACGCTTACCCTTGGTTGGGATCAGCTATAAGTCGTTCAAAAATGCAACTGCCTGGGAAGTTGTATCAGCGCCCGTGGGATTGAAGATGAAATCACGCATCGTATAGCAAAAGCTCGGGGCGCTTTTGCTAACCTTCGGCACTTATGGCGCCGGCGCGACATCACTCTCTCCATGAAGGGTAGAGTGTACAACGCAGCAGTACGTCCGACCCTACTGTAGGTTGTGAAACCTGGCCGTTTAATGCAGCGGACCTGAAGAGGCTAGTTACGTTCGACCACCGCTGCCTTCGTAATTTAGCTCACATCTGGTGGGAACACCGCGTGAGCAACGAGCGTGTTCGACGCCTTGTTTATGGCACAAGAAAAGGAACTGAACCGCTCAGCACCGTCATATCACGCTAAAGGCTCCGTTGGCTTGGCCACGTGTTACGCATGTCAGTCCACCGAGTTCCGCGACGTGTGCTTTTTGCGCACCGTGGTTGGGTGTGGATGGAAGAAGAGGAGGGGTGGCTAGGCGATGACTTGGTCCAGAGGAACCAAGGCTCTCACTTCTGAGCTGGCCTCGGCTGGAGCTTCTCGGCTCCCTGGTTGGGGTCTGAAAGACGATGCACACGTTTGGTTGGACACACTTGCTGGTATGGCTAGGAGCCGACCTCAGTGGCGTTCGTGCTGTGAGTTTCTTTGTCCCACCCCATCCCTCTTAGCCTCCCCTCCAACCACGATCTGATTATTTAACCTTACGTAATTTTGCATGGTAACATTTTTGGTAGACAACAGCCGGCTGGTAGCTTACCGGGACGATGCCCATCCGTCACCGGTAGCTCAGCCGGCTCGCACCAGTTGCATTTTTTTCTCTCCTTTTTTCTATGTATTGCGGTACAGTAGCTGAGGTGTTCCCCACCGCTAGCTAACGTGTATGATGAAAAGGATGATGATGATCCTACTAAGAATAGGACGCTTGACTGAACAGGAGAATTCAACTAGTCTCATAAATTTCACCGTTGCCTTCTTCAGGTCGACAGCTAGCAGCAGCGTCAAATGTAATAGTAACACAACTAAGCAATTCATCCTATTGCACTAATTAGATTGCGATGGAATTTTCTGGTATTTTACGAAGCCTGCCGCCTAGTGGAAATTTGACAGAAGTGCTTGCGTAGTGTCATTAGTGTGTTTAAGTCAAACTCCCTTAAGCAGTTACTATCCAGTAGATCATGGAAGCGATTACTTTTTAATCCCGCCATACACTATTGCGCTAGCCAACAATAGGTATGGAAGAAGGCTGCAGTACTTATTTTCCGAAGGTACTGGTTAATAAGCCGTTCTTTTGGAAGCTAAAAGTGAGTTGACTTTGTGCGCTTGTTTTCAGCTTTCGGCCGGAGCTTACGGAGACAGATGTACTCCGATCGTCAACTTACTTTTAGAATGCGTCCAATGCGCTACCACTAAAGTGTTAAGCCTAACGTATTGTATCTTAACTTGGAGGGCTGGTCAGCTGGTTATTGGATTTTCAGTCCCATTATATGGTTAGTTCGCAGGGGTCTTTCCATGCAGCTGGACAAACAACTTTCCGATCGGATTAGGGTGTAGTTTCTGCTGTAACGCTCTGCCATCGTGCCCCGGAACATGCGTCCAACTATCGGTAACATGCACTCGACAGTTTAGGGATTTGAGGATCAACTTGACGCACTTGGGTGGCAACACGACCCGCGCTTACTTTTCCTGAATAACTTGCATTTTCATACTTCGATTTTCTTTTCGCAGCATTCCCTCGTGCATTGATATAATCCCCTTACACAAAACGAACTTCCCCATACTGTACCTTTGCTTCCTCTTCACATGAATGCCACAACAGAGGCTGCTAGTGCAGGAAACCATGCCTTATTTGGATGAGCAGGGAGTGATGAGGGTGTTCAGTTTTGGATCCAACTACTGCTCCGAGCACCTAAACAAGTCCTGGCTCAACGATTCTCTCAAGTAAGAATACTTAGCTTATTATGGTATCGATCCAGTACTACTTGCATTTGAACTTAAAATTATCCTTGAAGTTCATCTGCAGTCTACCGCTGTCACGCATGTCTGCTCCTGAGTCAGTGCATATATTAAATGCGGACTACTTAGTGCTTGTGGAATAGTGGACAACCTTGTATAAATACAGCTTTTACTAACACAATTGTAGATCGGAGGGTCAATTTTTGTATGCACGTTGTGTGATTGGATTGCGACGCACAATCTCAAAGTGGACCGCGGCTCACATTGAAGTGAACCTTAGTCACTGCGATCCATGGGACGGTAGTCAAAGTACCACCTGATGAAATGAAATGACATCGAAACGCGTCGCGGTTGTGCATTGTTCTCGGGCGGGCATCACCCAATTTCCATCTACAATTGTAGATACCTTTGGCATTAAGAGGCCCAGTAATAAAAACAATCAACGGTTACGTATGATATGAATTTACTGTTTCAAAAAGTTTTAATACTCCTGTCTATGTCAGCTGATATACTTGTACTTACGGTTTGATTAATTCTTTTGTTGTTTTATTGTTTCAACATTGACCTCTGCAGGGACAGAGTTTATGTAAAACATCAAAATGGGAAAAAGCAAGAAATGCAGATGTGATGATAGTTCAAGCAGCTGTGACAGTGATACCTCTTTCGAAAAGTTGTGCCGGAAAGATCCTTTAAAGCTGCACATTAAAAGATTAAAATTGGAGCGCAAGATGATTAAGGTAGTTCCTGGTCTCACATTAGTTGACAAAAATAACGTTTAAGAAAAACCGATGCGTTTGTGGATACTGCCCACCTGGGAACCTGGCTTGTTCGGAAAATTTTATCAAAAAATATAAAGTATGTCCGGGTATTACCTATAGTAAAGTACTGTTGATATTGACGCATATAAGTGTTCTAATTATTGCTTTGTATACGCTTTTTTGCTTCAGAACCTCTGTATTTGTGCTGTTCTTGTACAACGTAAACATATCAGCTTGTAAAAGGTAGCGCAGTAATGGCCTTTGCGGTTGTTTCATGAAACGCGTTTGTGCCTCTTCTATTGTTAACACTAGAACAAAGACCTAAAGCTGCGAATTTATTGATAGATATAAATATCTGCGCAGACAAGCGCTTTGCATGTCGAATTGCATGTCGTACTCTGTCTTGTGTCTTTCTGCCGTTAGTATCTATAACAGACACATCACCTTTTTTGTTTCCACCGAAACCTGACACCAGCCATTAGCTATTCCCTTCTTCTTAGCTGTCCCTGACTATCCCATCAGCTGACATTGTTAGGGTTTGTTTGCTCGGACTCTCGACCGTTTCGCTTTTAAACGGGTGTGACCGAACTGCTTATTCGGCTTTGTAACCGGTCGGACTTTAGTTACTTGTAGCCGGCATTTGTTATTTATCGGACCTCCGGTATTAATTTGAAAACAGCACTACCGTACACTGTGCTGAACACTTGAAAAAGACACCTCAGCGCACTACCGGCTATGGCTTTCGGGTTGATCAGGGAGTCTTATATGTTGCTTGCATTCATCGCCTATTTAACGGCAACAATGCTTGACAATACAGGATTGCTTGGTGTATGTACGGAGCTTGGACGATGCCGTCAGGAGGCAAGTCAGTACGAAAGAACGCTGAGAACATTATTGAAAATCGGCAAGTTGGAGCCTTTATTCTTGCCGCCGGTCATCTTAATTCCATTCTATTGGGCCGGTTAGTAGTAGGATTTGTGACAGTATTAGTGTTAGTATGGACTCCGCTGTCCCGAAGATTACACCGACACTAGCATAACAGAAGCAAAAACAGGTAACATCTGAAGAAGAACTGGAGCGTTATAGTCACTTACTGCTGGGCAGGACAGAGCTTTTTTACCGGCTTGCAGAGTCACGTAGTGAACCTAAAGAAGGTTGCGGAAGGTTGCGGTACTAATATCGAAGGATATCGAGCTACCCCAAATGATTACAAACTCTTACTGTTTTCCCTGATCAGCCCTTTTGGAGCAGTTGACAAATGGCCGTTTCCAAGTGGAACTTCAATATTTTGACATTGATCCTGCCATGTGTTTTAGGTTCATGAAGCAATCGGCGTACTTCGTTGAGAAGCGGGTTTAGGATAATGGACAATGATTCGTATATTTGTTGTGCTACTGTCGAAATCCGGCGAAAAATGCTAGCAGCGTGTGTGTTAGTTTGCCTCAAGACCAGGCATAAATTTAAGCTATAACGCTGCTTTGGTCTGAATTTGTGGTCGCCAGATCATTTATGGATTCATTACTAACGGATCTAAGGTTGCTTGCCCAAGATGCCGAAGGTATTTCTCGTCTTTCTCTAAAGATGGAGATTTAGCACATAGCCCTGAATCAGATGGGGTATCTTGCTAGCCTAGATTCAATTGCAACCGTTGAAATGATTGAACAGATCTTGCTTACGGTATAAAAACAAGCTGGGCACGTACAGCGGATATCATCATGCAAGAGGGAAGCGAAACCAGGTTCAAATACCTGTATGACTTCGTCTCTGCTAAGCTCGCATTATGCGCAGTAGATTTGATCAGATAACATCTACTCTTGAGCTAGGCCCGTCTTGTTCCCGAGGTCGGCCCATCCCAGTACGCGGAAGAAATTAGGCTAGCAACAACCATTTTGATAAATTCAGCTTGCATGCTTGCGGTTACCAACATGATATTACGATGTGCCAAGAATTTCCAGCTTCCAGAGTACCTGCGAGATAGCAATTAATAAACAATAATAACAATAAACAATAAATGTCTAGACAGTGGTCATTTGGCTGCTCCTTGCACATCAGGTGACAGGTGTAACAACTCGGGTTTCAGGGGGTCGTCATCACCCACTACTCTACCTCGAGCGCAGTTAGGACTCAAGGTTAAAATGGAGCAGCTGTCGTACCGCTTTCTGCTCAAGAAAGGAACTATGACTGCCTACAGTACCTGTGCATCTACAGGGTGCTCTGAGATCTATTGAAAATTACACTTTCCTGGATGGTGGGTCAGATATAAAATTGGTACAGACAGGTTAGTTACGCGAAGTTGGAATAGAGTTTTCACCTGAATCGTTAGAAATTAGGATGCTGGATGGCACCTCGTTGATTGACGCAAGCTCTTTTGGTTTCCAGTTGAGCTCATTGCGTGGTTTTGCTATGATTCATGCCTCTCCTACCCATGACGTACAAACTTTCAATTTACCACCAGCCAAAGTCCTTACTAAACCTGTAGTTTGTCGCTGACCACACCTCAAGAGTATACAGTTTAGTGAGATCCGATCTAACCGTGTGCAAAGTTAATTGCAACTGATGTGCCTGCGGCCCAGTGACACCTAGAACAACGCCCCGGTGGCAGGATTCAGCCTTTTGCATTAAGTGGCCCACTTGGATAGACATTGCTTGGGCTAGTAGAATTTGAAGCCATTCATTTGCCTCAGTCAGTCATGCTCAGTGTGATCCACGATCCGTGGGGGTCAACTTGGATCTCTATTTGAGAGTGATTTTGCCAGCTTTGATCCCGAAGATCATGCTCGAAATGAGAGTTAAGTGTGTATATTGCGGCTGCACGAGCGGTGTGTGAGGGGTTGAGGTCGCACATTGATATTTATGTCCGTGGGGGTACATGGACTGTGATTGGATTTATTTGGTCTAGTGGGCAAATGGACCTAGCGTCGAAGGAACGTGAAGCTGTGTCGGCCTCGTGAGTTCCGAGAAACGTGATGTGCGAGTCGGTCCGATGTTCATCATTAATATTGATGCGTTTACCCGGTGATGTTGATTCGGATTTGGATGCGAGTGCGGCTGTGCCTGTGGTTCATGTGCATGACTCTGCCCCATCCTCAAACTACGTGAAATATATGAGCAATCAAACAGATGAGGAAGCAGTGATTGCTATTGTTTGCATGCATGCGCGAACGGAGGCGGATTTAAAATGTTGGTTGCAGGCTGAGTTGAAGAGTCTTCGACTGGAGCATCCTTACCTGAGAGAAGCTTGTAAGGAGGCGTGTAACTCGAATACTACGACGGAGTTGGTGGTTGGCTTGCTTTGTGCTGCGACGGATGAGTTGGCGTCTGCTTTGATTGTTGCAGATGATGCCGGTGCTCGTGTTAGTTTTTCTGTAAATATCTTGCATGATGGAGAGGTGCGCGAGTCACGGCTGGTTGTAGACAACTTGGCTGCTGGTGACATGTTAGTTCTTACCGCTGCCAGTGGGTAGAACCCGTGGGGTGGGTGTGCATGAGAAATGTGGATCTGTTATGTCGGGTGGTTCGTGGGTGTGGGAAGACTTTGAGAGACGGAGCACAGACCGTTGGTGTGTTAGCTGGGCATCATGACGTAGATGTGCAGAGTGACGCTGTCGTCAGCTGAACGTGCAATGGGGTCGGCTACATCGCTGGGACCGACTTCAGTGGATGCGAGTGAGTCATATGGTAGTGTAGGGTGTACTTCTGAAGCGGTGTTAGATGGTAATAGTTTGTGTTAGTTTGAAGCAGGGGAGTTAGGTTTAATGGAGACAGGATTGTTGGCGGAGTTAAAGGAGATGGAGCTGTTGGGTTGCATGAAGCCTGAGTTACAGGCGGTGATTTTATAGCCTTCACAGTTGGCTTATCGTGGCTGATTTTTGGTTAAAACGCTGTGGATTCAATGGATGCGAAAACGTTGTTGGGTGAATTGTTGTGCCAGTTGGCTGAGGTTTGTGTAAATTATGTGGGCGGATTATTGGAGAGTGCATCGTTGGAGCCGAGGTTGCTTGATGCGCTGTGTAAGTTGTGCGCTTTCGGTGCTTAGTTGTGAAACTAGGCTTGGAGTCCAAGCGATGGCAGTCATTCGGGTTGTCGGAGTTTGATTAATGTGTGTGTATTGTGGATTCTTTGGTGGAGGCATCGCAGAAGTTATATAGTAAGAGCGCATCCGGGTTGCGCGAGATAGAGGCGCTGGTGTGGGATTTGTTGGAGGAATTTCCTGTGTCTTGTGCGCCCTTGTGCATTTTGGTAGGCTCCTTGAGCAAAGATATATGTGTGCTACGGCCGCAGCACACGCGTGTGTATGAGGCTGTGGCGTCGAGTGGAGCGTTGAAGGTGGATGTGTTTTGGGTTGACTGCGGCGCTCGGTCGTATGAGCGAATTGAGTTCGGACAAGGAGGAATTGCGTACAAAATGTTTCGACGCCTCAACTGCGTTCGCGGAAGCTTCTGCTTTTCTGTTAATGCTTTGTCACTGTTTAGTTTCTTCTGTAGTTTGTTGCAGTTTACATTTGGTCTTTACTGGTAATGACGCGGTGTCTTGTTTGGGATCCTTATATTTTCACTCCCCTAACTAGTCGTTGGCTCGAGCACTCTGTTGTCTTCTTTCTGTCGTCCGTCCGTCGAACCTTGAGATCGTTACACCTGCAGCCGGTGATGATTTTACGGATGTCACCCGTCTTTCTAAGATTTGATTTTTTCTGTTTGGCGTTGCTTATATGTTAGAAATCTTAGCGGGAGAAGAACAGTCAAGCAATGAGCAATTGCTGGAACGAATTTGGTGGGGAGTGTAACATACAAACCACAGTTTGTTGGGTTCCGCTGAAACATGTCATTAGTCTCGAGCTATTCCCTTGTTCTTAGCTGTCCCCGACTCTTCCAACATTTGACAATTTTACGGTTTAATTGTTTGTAATATTGATCAGTTTGCTTTAAACCGCATCTGTCCGAACTGCTTATTTGGCTTCGGAACCGGTTGTACATTAGTAGGCGACGCTAAAGAATCCGTGAATGCGCAACTGACAGGTTGCCGCTCAAAATCGTTTTCGCCCGTTGTTGTCCCAGTGAGACACATCTGTGCCGCGATTTGGTGGCAGAATTATTCATC